GCCCATTCATCCAACTCCAGCACGCTTCCCTCCTGCGAATACCACGTCAGGGCTTGCGGCTTTACCTTCTTCTCCGAAGGACTCTCGCTTGAGCTCCCAGCTCGGGCTCTCAGCTCGGCGAGGGAGTCAGGGCTTCCCAGGGTCTCACGGATGTATCACATCAGGGTCACCAGTTGTTGCTCACCAGCCTGGGCTACAGCACCAAGGACACTGTTGCATCCTCCACAGCCAGGAGGAAATGGCCTGCCTCTTGTAGGCAGGATCGGTACCTTGAGTTGATTAGTAATTAGTTCATTATCTCAACTCAGTCCAGCTGGGTAAGAATGATTGGTGCCATATGTGTGTGGTCCAGGTACCTCAACTTACAGTGCTGTCTTTTAAAGAGTTAAAAACTGTTGCCGAGGATGGGCAGGAGCTTTCAAAACCCATTCAGGTATACTCTGGATACTGCAGGTGGATCACCACCTTCCTTTGTGTCCCTTGTGCTGTCTCTGTCCTGAAACAGAGCACTTCAGTGCAGCTCAGAGGATGCACAGCTGGTTACAGCAGCAGCGCTGAGGGAAGCACCAGGGATGCTTGGCTGGGTCCAAACTGGTGAAGCACAATGGAAAAACATCCTTGGAGAAATTTTGTGTCATCTCAGTGTTGCTAATATAGTTTTAAACCAAAAGTGTCTAAATCACAGGGGAAATAATTGGTTGTTTCATACAGGCTCTGCACCTCAGGAACTGCATTTGGATGATGTCTTGCAAAGAAAGTGAGAAACATCTTGTAGTTCATGGAAGATCTCAGTAGAGCACCTTTTCAGAGCTGTCTAATAAGTTTAAGTGAGGAGAGTCCTGTGATATTGGCAGGACATCCTGGGTCCATCTTGCTGCATTCGAGCTGTTTTATACCTCTTTTGTGGTGGGACGGCGATGAGGACTCAGAGGTGAGAGGCAGCAGTGCCTGGTCCTGGTTCTCGTACTGCAGCAGCACAGAAGCTGGCTGGTCACCCTCCCTCCTGTCTGCAGAGAGCTGTGCAGGGTTCCCAAAATACCTTACTGCTGCTGGCAACGGGGCAAGCATGGAAATTGAATCGATGTGTTCCATGTGAAGCACGAGAGCTGGTTCCCTCAGTGCAGTGCAGACAGGTGTATACGGGAGCACCCAGATTCCACAGGGGAGAGCCAGCATCCCCTGCACAGTCCTCTTGTATTTGGGATGTTCTCCCTCTCTGCTTCATCAGACAACAGCAAAAGGTAAGAGGTTCTTGCTTTGTGGTTGATACGTCCTCATCCAGCTGTTTCTAGGTGAGCTATATTGAGTAATTAAGCAGGAGCATCTACCCCAGATAGTCAGAAAATCGAGTCAGGTGCTGAAGATCGTGGAACTTAAAATACAAAGCACTGCTGATACTCATTGTGCGTGTTACATCTATTTGCTTGCTGGTTTTTGAGCCATAGGGGTTTATGGCTTCAAGCTTCATCTCATACCACCGAGGGCTAGAAACTTGCTTTGTTTTTTTAAAACACTGAGGAAAGACATGCAGGTAGCTGCCTTCAGGAGATGGAAATTGAAAGGAAACTGTCCTACAACTGCCTGGTGAACCATGAGTGTTTGCAGGACCATGATGTCCCCTTTCTTAGCAGTTGCCTTGTACAACTGAGACTCCTTCCCCCAGCCCTCACGTCACAGCCTTCGCTGCACCAAGCTTCAGTTCTCCCCTTTACGAATTTAGGGGCTAGGGGGACATTCATCCCGCCTGTGTTTGCATGACACTGGAACAGCATTTGTGTTGTTTATACATCAGGGATGTGAATGTCCCCTGCACGGGGCAGTGTCCGTGTCCCATGTGTGGCAGGGGGAGCCCTTGGAGCGGCCATCACAGCGTGAGTGCACCCATGGGTGCTTCTGCCCATTCTCCTTGCTTTGGCCATTTGTCCTGCAGCCTCCCAAGTCAGACCTTCTCAAAAAATGTTCTCTGCCCAGCACTGAGCTCCCGACGCTCCTGCAAAAACATATTCTCTTATGTGTGTGGGAAATCTGCAGGATCGGATCCCTTAGTGGGACAGGGATCTGAAATCTCTGTCCTGCAAATGGTGCATACGTGCTGGGTGGTAGCTTGTTTTTAAATAATTAGCTGCACTCTAATCTCCAGCCCACAGGAGCCGAGTGATTTGATCCTATACTTTCTGAGCTAAGCTTAATCTTTTATTGTTCGGCCAGCATAGCTCGCAGAACCGCAAACTCCGTTTTTGCTGCGGACAATTGCAAGCACCAAAAGTGGGAATTGCTGTCGGTAGAAAGTGCAGGTTTTACAGGTTCCCCTTTTGCCATTTCGATCTAGATGACATCATAAAACGCCACAGGAAGGAGCAAACAGATGCCGGCGCCGTGGGGAACAGGCAAAGGCAGCAGGTCAAGAACAGGAATTCGGCGTACGGGTATGGGCGGCCCCGTTTCTGCGCCTGGATGCAGAGGAATTTGCAAGGTAGGTGAGTGCCTTGGGAGGGTGGAGGTCTGCCAAGCTGGAAAACACATTTGTGTAACAAAATACAGCTCTTAAATCCTTCTCCTGTCTAATTCCTGTGTGCGTATAAGATGTACTCGGGCTCTGAATAGCTTTTTTCTCTGCAACAATGGAATATCAGGGCCCTTTCAGAGCATAAATTCATCCGTTTCTCTCCCTTCCACCCTCTCATGAATTACTAATTCAGAGTGACTTAATATCTATTCTCTATTCCCTTTTGGCTTTGCATATTTTAATTATGCCTCTTCCTAATCCTCTTTTTCCCAGAACACACGTAAATTACCTCTTCAGTAACTGTCTTTGATAGCTCAGTTATTGGAGCTAATTTGTCACTTTTGCCAACTGTGCTATTTTTATGATTTTTTTTTATATTACCATGTGATCACACACTAATCTGTGTCTGGTTCCACTAGCTTTTATCTACAAAGCCAAAGTGATCTGCTGCATGAAATGCCATATCAAAATTTCGCTTTTTTAAAAAATTACTGCTAAATCTTTTCATTGAAGATTTTGGTGACGTTTTGCAGCAATTTCTTCGCAGTCTTCCCTTGGAGTGCCAATGGCACATCAGGACAGTGGGATTGCTGGGAGCAATCCTGCCTGTTTGTGATCTGCCTCCCACTCTCATGTTCTTGGTCTCCACCACATATTGCCTTACCGAGAATCGTTCCGGTTCAAAACAGAATGATGATAATTGCCCTTTGCAAATTGATTTTTCTGTCAAAAACACAGGCATATTGATATTCTTCCACACTCGAGCCGCTACTGCATGCAGAGTCAAATAAATAATTTTTTTTTTCTAGCTATTCCTTAGAAAGGAGAACTTTTCTGTTCATGTATAGAATTATTTCTGCTAGTCTTAGTATTTCATAGGTTTTAACAGAGTCTGAATTCAGCCCTGCCAAGTGCAGAGACCCACCATGCTGTGTGAAGTTGATGTCAGTAGCAATTTTGGGAAGCTCAGCACAACTGGGAATTTAGCCCATAATTCTTTGGGGGCTCATTTCACTTCGGTCCCTGGTGAAATGCCGTCCCTTCTGGGCTGAGGTGTGATAACCATTATCAAAATGAGGATCAGAACAGCCCAGCGCTGTAATGACAGAGTGTGGAAAAAGGTATTATGCTGATTAGACTAGCAAGAGAATTCGTGCAAGCGAAGTGCTGTTATCCCGCCTGGAATAAGGCTTAAACCATCTCCCCGTTGGGGAAGGATGATTTTTAATGATGAGACATTTGAATTTCAAATCTCCTCGGAAAAAGAGTCTGTCAGAAGTTGGAGCTTCTCCCCAGACTGGACTTGCTGGGCAGAGGTGCCGCTCAGCCAACCCAGATGTGCTCAGCACCAGGCTCTGAGCATGTGCCCAGACAAGAGGGGGTCCTCCGCAGCTGCTGATGCTGTGGGGTTTTAGTCAAATATTCTTTCATTAATAAATACTGGCCAGACTTTTTGCAGAGATGGAGCCTCCCATGCGTCACACTTCAGGATACGCGTGGCAGACCGGGGCCCTGCTCCCCAGCCGGTGTACACGGGGTACCCCTCAGAGGCTGGCAGCTCCATCGTTAGCTGTCAGCACTGGCTGAGGCTCAGCCGAGCGCGCTGCTGAGCAGGGGCTCTCCAAAATGAGCTGACTGACGGGCCTGATTTTCCAGTCAGGGCTGCCTTTTGCATCAGTCCCTCCCATCGCACCGACGAGATGCCCGGGAAAGGTGGCGGAGCTCAGTCTGTCTTGCTGCAGAGGAGCTGCCCTCTCCGGGGTGCCCGGGAGCTATGTTGCAAGGCTGGGGGCACCCAGGACAGCAAGAGAGACGGGCAAGCCCAGGGTAGTTGTTGAAGGGAACAAGAAAGGGAAAAACAGACTGTGGGGGCAGAACCAGGCAGGAAAAAAAGGGCCGTTAAACCCAGCAAGACATGTGGTCAAAAAGACACAGATGGCCAAAATTCAAGTGTGTGTTGGGAGAGGAACATTTACACACCTGTGGTGAGAGAGTGTCATTTGCGAAGAAAATAACTATTGGCCCCACAGAGCTTGTGAACAGCGTTGTGTTTTTGTGAGTGCTTCCGACTAGCAGTCCGATCACAGGGAGCGGAGCATCCCGACGTGCTGGTCAGGAGGTGCTTCCCACGGGCACACCCTGGTGCCCTTTTGTTTTAGAGCCAGAGCAGCTCAAATCATCTTCATTCGTATTCCAGCGTAACCAGCCCACGCTGGCTCTGACCGGTGTTACACCCTGGGGCTGGAGCCTTCATTAATCACTGCGGTGATGGCCCCTGACAGCAGTGTCACCGCTGCCTCCCAACACTTCATTGCTAATTGCTCTGAGTCATTATAAATTGCGGTGATGTAGGAGTCGATGGTGTAGGATCAATACACGCGTCTAACCGGTCTGTGGTTTGTGTCAGTGGGGTTCTGCTGTATGGTGCAGGGGTTTAACCGTATGCCCGCTGCCCACTGCCATGCCTTGTGCCTGATTTACGTGCCCCTCCGAGTCCGGGTGCGCGTTTCACTGGTATCGCAACATGGAAAATGTCTGCTTCCTGATGACTACAGAAGTTTATCGTGTGGCGTAATCAGGCTTTAATGCACTCTGCCTCCATCTGACAGAGTGGTTTCCTCTCACTCGATGCTTAAGCAGGTTTCAAAATCATAAAGAAACTTAGGGAAGCACTTAAATGCAAGGTGGGCTGTTGGTGTGTATGTACTATGCAGATACGTAAAACAGCAGCAGAAGGTGCCCCCTTCAACATATGCAGTGAGTAAGGATATGTCAAGCTCAAAAATTAAAATATATGTATACATATAAAAATTATGATCCAGTCTTCACTTATCAAGTGCTATAATGTGGGCATTTGGAGCTATTTCAGGCTGCTGTGGGGTTGGCTTTCAGATGCTCGAGTCGCTTGCATGTCTGTATCAAAAGGCTTTTCCATTTCACAGTTAATTCGTAGCAATGTGAGCTCTGACAACAGATTGACAGGTTTCTTGATTTGAGTGTTCCTGCCTTTATTAGGAATCAGAATTCTGGAATGCTTTTCTCTTATATATTCTTTCAAATCAAATAACGTGTTTGTCAGTTCTACATATAATAAGAATGCTAGTGAGACATTGGAAAGATAAATTATTTATATATTCTGCAAAATTAATTTACTTTTCTGGTATAAATTAATGTGTTTCTTGCATCACTATTTATATAGATACTCCTGTATCATATTAAGTTAACCTTGTAACTCATTTGCAAAACTGTAATCATAAATTGAGTTTTGAAGGGTGCTAAAATAAGTTTATTTTTGTAGGACCTAACCGTTTTAGAAGAGGGTTTGGACAACAACAATACAATCAGAGACGGTTCAGGAATACTGTGCCTGGTCCCAGGAGAAGATCAGCTGCCACATTAAATGGAGTGAGCCCCTTAAATCGCCAGGCATCGACTCAGGAGGTAGGGGGGTAAGGAAGGTACAGCTGTTCCCAAATGTCATGTAGAAATCTGCCGGATTTTATGATTCTGGATCACCCCAAAGAACAATCTACCTAAAAAATTTACAGGCACCATCTTTTATATGTCTGTGCACAGAATTTGTATGCATAGGTGGGTACAGACACATATGCATATAAAATAGCAATTTTCCTGTTGGTTTTATAAGCTTATGACTCTACATAATTTCACTGAATCAGTTCTCATGGGTTTTACAGAAAAGATTTTTTAAAAAATGTATTCTTGAAAGATTTAAAAATATTTCCATAAAACCAAATTCCATGTCATCTCATCTTACTATTATTATCATTTAGAGGAGGTATGTTACGATTCACCGTTACTTGTCGTCCACCCAAAGCATTTTTCAAGGTCCAGTGAAATCAAAGGACAGACTGTTGTTGGCTTCAGGTGGCTTCGATTCAGAGACATACTTTTCACTAGAAAGTGGCTTTCCCCCACCCTGAGACACTGGTTCCCAGTGCTGTGACAAGCCATGGATCAGATTACCCATGTGCTTCAGTGTAAAATGCGTGGGTTTTTTTTAATTCGTGGCTTTCCCTTTTTGAAGGTTAAGTGTTTAGGTCTTATCTCTGCTCAAAAACTGAAAAAAAATATTTAAATATTTTCATTTGATTTTTGAGGTATTTTAAGACTGAGCAGGTGAGAAGGAAGGTACACATTCACCATTAAAGTAATTCTTACAGCTTTCTTCTGAGCATCACTAATGTTAAACTGGCTTGGTGTAGAAGGTGGAAATCAAGCAGGTAGATAGTCCTCTGTGAGAGGAGGTTATTTTTTCTGCACTGATGAAAATCCACTCAGTTAGGAGGTCACATATGCTTAGTAAGCTTTTAAAATAACACCAAAGTAGCGAACATGATGGCACATTTCATGGCTGTGTCCTGGGGGTATAGATAAGGGAGCCCCAAACTGAGCAGACATGTGCATGGAGTGCGCTTATTCCTGAAAATAAAGACTGTGATGACTCAGATATTGAGTGTGGCTGGGTATTAACGGAAAGTAATAAGCAGTTGCTAGGAGGCATAATTCCATGATAGCTTCCATTTTGCAGAAATAAACTAAGTGGGAAGAATGTGGAAACACATCTCAGTTAATGGGTAGTAACAATGACAGTGGTTGTCCTACAGAGATAAATGGCATAGAGCGTGTGGCAGGAGGACCTGCACTGCTGAGGGGCCTTCTGATGTGCTTCGTGCTTCAGGGCTTGGACCAGACAACCTACATGTCCAAACAGGAAAGAGTCAATGACTGAAAGGAAACCTGAGCAAAGCTGTAAATGCTTGGCTTGTATGAGATTTGCTCTCCATTGACTAATTTTTTTTTAGGTATTTCTGCTCTGTTAGAATGAAACATTCTTCCTGTTATTCCTTCATTCCTAGTTTCATGCCCAGGAGCCGAGGTGCGCACACTGATTGTTGACAACAGTGTATACTAAGTCCAGATGTTGAGACTACAGCAACACTGCTTGGTAGTAATATGCCTGCTGTAGATACAAAACACCATGGAAGAGACCAATTTTTAATAGATTTAGCAAGAAATCAGTTTCCAATCAAGAAAATGTCAAAGGAGATGGAAAAAAAAAAAAAAGCACTTGCAGAGCAGGGTTGTTCTGTTGCAAGAGTGCAGAAGTTGCAAAAGGAAAAACATTTGGGAATAAGAATATGGGGAACGCAGAGCACACAGTGCGGGGCTGAGCCCCCTTTGAAGCAATTGCAAGCGGTGCCGGATGCATCCGTGAGCAGCGAGGGAACGGCTGCCGGGTCAGCCGTCACCCCCTGCCCATCGTAGCAGGCTGGATTTCCCCCTGGACAGAGCCAAAGAAAATGCCAAATAAATGCCCCGGCTTCTCAGGCAGCGGCAGTCAGCGGAGGGAAGGACCGCCGCATGCTGTTGCTTGCGCTCGCTCCCTCTCCGTGTGCCGAGGTGGCAGCGCGGGTGGCGACAGCTGGGCTCTCGCTGCTTTTTCAGGGCAACAAGAACAGCGATGCTTTCGCCAAGAGCAGCAGCAGTGGGCAGCCGGAGGGACGGCAGCGGCCACCCCCAGGCCCCAAGAGGTTCAGAGCAGCTGCTACCAGCACCTGCGCCCCAGGGAAAAGGTAAAATTTTTTGTAACTCTGGAGTTTTTTGGTTTTCGGCAATTCCCTGTGAAGCTCCCAGGGCTCTGCTCTTGGTCTGCGCCAGCTGGGAGTGGCTACGGCCGTGTGCTCACGCAGCGTGAGAAAAATACCCCTGGGGATGTTAGGAAAGCATCTGGAAATAAAACAACTTTGTGCCGATAGTTAATAATTCAGGTATTGGATCTGTCATTTCATTTTAGAAAGCACGGGAAGTGTGACCTCTGTATTTTTATTAAACTCTGTCACTTTGGGGAAAAATATGAAGAGTGAAATAGCATTTCTTTTCATAAAGGCAGGAAATACAGATCCCAGCTGTAAGAGGTGGGCAGGGAGAGGGCATCTGTCCCGGCGAGGGGCTGCAGGAGCCGACGCTGTGCCCGGGAGCTGTGCTGAAAGCAGGCTGCCAGGCACTGGGCACAGCCTCAGAGCCTGTCTCGTTGTGGTCCTTGTGTTCTTGGAGCTCGAAAGGAAGCTCCAATGCAATCCCATCTTTGCTCTGTGTAGAGCAGAAACTGAATGACCTCCAGAGGTCCCTTCTAACCAGATTTTTTTCTATGATTTTCTTCCATGATTTCATGAGCAGAGTTCAGAACAAACACAAGCTGTTGTTTCATCTGAGCGGAAAAACGAGTTCCTCTGAAATCTTTTGCTGGCAGAAAAACCTGTTGGGCTGAGCCTGGTAATGCGCAGCCTCATTTGCTTCTCATGCTGCTTTTTAATACCGTGCTGGGTTAGGTATTTCAGCATTAAACTTTAGGAGAGATCTGGCATTGTATTCACCTATGTCCTTTTCTCTCTCCTCCTTTTCCAGCAGGCCCTTTCTGCTAAACAGAGGACCAGCCTTCCAGCAGAAGCGGATGCAGCAGCGGTTCTCCAAAGGCAACTTTCAGAAAGGGGTCAGTATTGCAACATTTTTTCTGCAACCTGCTGAAGGTGACAAGCCTTCGCTTTTACCAGCCATTGCCCAGTTGTATCTTTGCTTCCAAAAGTAACTGGGAGAGATGGATGATTTTAATAACGATCATATTCCTAGGAAAGTATTTGCAGGACAGGCAATTTTTAATGCAGCTTAATATTCTGGCAGCTGGAAAATAAAATCTGGGCAGGTGATAAAAGTAAACCTTGCAGTTTATACAGCAGCACAAGCAGGGCAAAGTAAAGCCACCCGTACAGATCACTGTGACAGCAGGAAACCTAAGATTAGGAAATTTCTTGGCAACATGCAAGGAAAGAGCTATTCAGATACACCAAATGAAATGATGGAAAAGGAGTCATTGTTTCTGAGTGCTAATTCTTTAAGTCTGTTTTTTTTTTAAATATATTTCACAGCAGATGGATGCTAATGGAGAAAGGAAACCACCAAGGATGAGAAGGTAACTGGTGAACAAAGGCATGCTGCAAACACGACGTGCTCTTTCACGCTCAAATCGAAGCTGGATACATCTCCCTGTCTTGGCAGGTGGCAAGTGAAACCCAGCCCCGGAGCGGTTCTGACGGTTTCTGTGGCTAATCCCCAGGCAGGCCAGACAGGCGCGTAAGTAAATGAGGTGATTTGTTAGGATGGGAGCCCTACAAAAGCCATTGCAAATCCCTTTAGCATTATTGCAGCTTCGCTTCTTCCATAATGAGCATGCAATGAATGGTTCACACCCAAACTGGTTGGCAAATGGTGTCTCATTCCCTTCCTGGCGTATCTGAAAGAAGACGGTAATTACCGTGTGGCTCGTTTGTTATCCAGAGTAAGGAGACATGGAAGCGCCAGCAGCGCGTGGGAGGTGGCAGGCTGGTTGTGCTCGATGTGGGGTGTCACGGGGGAAGCGCCGTGTGCCCCGAGGGGACACGGCAAGTTCACTGTGTAAGGGGGGCGCAGAGGCTGGAAGGGGCAGCTTCACCTCTAGGCTGAGCCAGTGCAGCGGCAGGACCTGGCACCCAGCTGGGGGCAGGAAGAAGGATGGGTGCGGGCACTAGGAATGTCCTTGGCACAGAGGGCACCCTGTGATAGCCTTGACGTGACACAGTCCCCAGTGCTGGAACTCTGCCTGCACAGCAGCTCTCCTGGTGCCCTTTAGACTCACCCAGGCTGCCATGAGACATGCCACAGGACGTATGGAGCGTGCAGGTGCCTCCTTTTCTCCTCGCTGGTTCGTGGACGATAGGAAGCGAGCTGCCTTAGCATCCTCAGTGACTGCACATCTGTGCTTTCCCCAGGCCAGGATCCAAGCGCCCGTTCCTGCGAAGCCAGAGGCCCCCACCATGGGCCACCAAGCCCCAGCCCAAAGGGGTGCTGCTGAGATTCAACTTCCGCGCGATGGCCAACCAGGTAGAGGATTGTCGACGGACAGGCAGCGCCTTGCACCCTGCAGCAGCCCTGCCACTAAGCTGTTAACATCACGCTCAGGTTTTTGGGGCTGCCAGTTGGGTTTATCTAGCATAACCCAGGAGGAAAGTCCTGTAGCCGTGTTGGCTAGCTTCCTCGCAAAACTGAACGTGCCTGAGAAGACTGTTCAGCAGCTACAGACTCAGCCCAATTTTTCCAACTCTGTTGGCCTCTCTTGGCGTGTCCATGTGCTTGCTCAGAGCAGGGAGATGCTGCTTGTGAGCGGTCCTCGCTGGGGGAGACCATTTCGCTATCGGTGCTCCCCACTCCTCGGAGACATATGGCACTTCTGGGCTTTGCTCTCTCTTTGCTTTGGTGACCTTCTCGGTGCCATGTTTTGTGCTGAAGTATGGTCCAAGAGCCCTAGGGCAGGTCAGAAATCCTACTCCACCTTCTTCATTGCCGATGTTTCTTGTCTGGATGGTTTGGTTTTACTTGACGCCTTGTGCTCAAATGCCATCTGCTTGCTCCTGTTCTTGCCGAGAACACCCCATGTCTTGGGGCTGGGCACTGCTTGGAGGTTTTCCAGCCGCACACAATCTGTTGAGCTCCATGTCTCTGTGTGCTGAGTGGTTTAATTGACTAACCGGCTGTGAAGCACCGTCCTGACTGATGGGCTCTAATCAATACCCTGCTACGAGTTTGGCCGTGCTTTGCCATGGGACACAGAACTGACTCGCTCTCCCTTTCCCCTGCAGACCAGCCTGACGCTGGATGAGAGGTTCTCTGGTCTGAGGAATAAGAGGCGCTTTACAGCAGCCAGGAGCGCCGGCCGGACGGTCACCATGCCTTAGCACCGCATGCTCCTCACAGGGACTGCCCATAACAGTCCAGGCCCCGTAACGGGCAGCTCAATAAAACTTGATAGATTTCCTCTGAGATAGCTAACTTGGCAATGTGCCGTCTCCTTCCTTACACACAGAGTGAATGAGCTATTGAGGGCAGGGATGAGGCAGGATGAGAGTCGGGGCCAGAGCACAGGGCAGGTGGGACGTGAGTGGGGTGGTGGAGGGGGATGAGCAGAGATGGATTTCTTGGGAGCGCTGTGCTGGGGAGCTGCAGGGCTGGCACCAGCCCTGACCCCCTGCCAGGGCACCCTGTGCTCCCCGGGGTGACTTCTGCAAGAGGGAGGGGAGACCAGCTCCAAGCCATACCCATGGAGCCTTCCCTGCCTTGTCAGATGGGTGGAATGGGGTTGAGGACACTGCAGCTGCCCGTGTGGGAGACAGAGCGGGAAGCAGCGCATGTGCAGGGACGTGCCTCAGCAGCAGCACCAGTGGGGATGCTCAAGCTGCCCACATTCCCCAGCATCCACCTAATTGTCCAATTTGTTGTGCATGCAGCTGTTCCTGCCCAGAGGTTTGCAGTGTAAGACCCCTCCATCCTGAAAACATCTCACTCTGCCCTGATAGTCAGGCCTGAAACACCTTGCATTTCTCTTTGGTTTGCTGTGCTGTTCTGACTGCTGCTGCTGGCCCAGTTGCGGGGACGGGGTAAGATGTGCCATACCGTGCTGCCAGAGTGACTCTCCTCAGCACGGAGCACAGACAGGCTGCCCCAGCCCAAATCAGGTTTTCCAGTGCTGCAGTAGTTCTGCATTAGGGGTTTCATAGGTGCAGCTCCACCCATGCTCAGAGTACTGGCATAATGGAACTAGCAGCTGCAGGAGGGAGGCCAGGCTCTACAGCAATCGGATAAACATTGGCTGAGATGTTAATGAGCTGGGTCTAGACCTTTGTGAACGAATCCCTGCACCAATCGTGAGTCACTGATCCATTCTCCACCCACTGCTGCAACCCAGCACTGAACGCGCTGGACACAGCCTGTTACTGGGCTCTAAGCTGTACTTACTAAAGTAAATATTTGATAGACTGCTTTACATTTTACACCGAGTGTCTTTAACAAGAGACCGGACTCGGTGTTGGTTTTATAGGAATGTGTGAAATGTTGTAAGTTGACGAAGCGGCGATGTACGAGTCCAATGCACTGAATAAAAAACTAACTTGTCAAATGTCCCCTCTGGTTATTTCCCTTTCTTCAACAGGCTTTTGTCATGAGTTCAGCCTCTCAGCGTGATGTTCTGGACACGGTACCCGTGGCTACATGGGCTGCCGTGGTGGGGCTTTGGGGAAGGCCGTGGTCCCCGTCAGTGCCCACCCATGGGTGGTAGGGCACTGGCCTGGCCATGCAGGCAGTTTGCTGCTCGCAAAGCTGGCTCCAAAGCAGTGGAAGGTTTTCAGTAGGTAGTTTGTAAAATCTTTGCTGTGATGTCTTTTGCCTTTAATGTTATCAGCAAAATTATCAGAGCAGATTTGGCTTTGAATGCGTCCAAAGCAAAACGCATGCAAACTGACTTCCAGGTTAATGAACTCTGGAGAGGATATCACCCCTTCACACAAATAATCCTGATGTCATGGAAGATGAACAAGAAACACTGTTGCGAACGGCAATATCACTGATTTTAGTAGCATCTTCACTATAAATATTGACAAAAGGTGGCAGACTCGCTAAGAAAACCTGATCACTTCTTAAAACAGGTTGCAAAGGGATGGAGTTGTTTAGTCCTGAAAGAACAACTGAGTGTGCAGCATCGCCTTGGTGTTCAGAGCACACCCTGATGCTGTTCTCCAAATAGATGTTTTTCAGCAATCTCTACCTTATATTTTTGTAAGTACTCCTTAAATTAAGACGGAGAGCTTAATGACAAAAACTACACTTTTTTCTAGCTTGGTTCCCCCACAGGGCTGGGTGACTTTGCATGCAGCAAGAGACGAAACAGGCTTCGCACAGAAGGGCACCGAATTTCTAAGTAGCAAAAAAGCATAACCATGGTGCTAAAAACGTATTGGGAGAGGGCACAGAGTCAGTTTGCTCCAACAGGCATAAAATAACCCTTTCTACCACAGTACTAAAGCCACAGAATAATAATCTCTAAAATTATCCCTGCTGTCATGCATAGGGTGAGCTGCTGCACAGAGCCTGGCTGGTTTTGGGGAGGGTGTTTCATACAATCACAGAATGGTTTGGGTTGGAAGGGACCTTAAAGGTCATCTAGTTCCACCCCCCTTGCCATGGGCAGGGACACCTTCCCCTGGATCAGGTTGCTCAAAACCTCATCCAACTTG